GTGGCCTGTCGAATTTTCTCGTAAAAAAATAAACTTCCTCGTCAGGAGCGTTCCTTCGAATTCGTACTTCGTACCAATTAGAAGGGACGTCTGTTTCATCGTTTCAGAATGAGAGAATGAACGGTTCGTTAGAGGTGTACCAATCGGAGCAACGAGGCGTTTCCCATAGATTTCCGCGGAAGGTTTCGCGAACGAACATGGGCGATCCGGGTCAGAGAAACGTTGTAACAAAGTATTTGCAAAAGAACGAAGTAGTGGTAGAAGGGAAAACAATACAGACGAGCGAAGAGAAAAATCGAGGAAATGGGGTTTCTCAGGTTGGAACGGTTACGAGAAGGATTTTGCGTCAGCGGGAGCAGATCTCGCGTGGTACTGGCCGCGGACGTCAGAAAAGCTGCAGAAATATTATCGCGAGAGACGTTAATTCGCCTAATTACAACGCGAGAAGCCTCGGAGGGAGGTAATCGCGAGCGTAAACCACGGTTAATTAACTCTGGAAAAGGAGCTCGGTAAATGGCATCGATTTGTACCACTAAATTCCTCTCTCTTTCTTTCTTATTGAAAAAGAAATCTGCCAGCAGCATGAAATTAACCGCGTGCGTGTGTGTGTGTGTGTGTCTACACGCGCGGTTAATGCATGCGCCGTCGGTTTTCCTATAATCGTAGAGAGAGAGAGAGAGACAGAGAGCTCGGTATCCGAAGAAGTTATCTGAGGTATCCAAAGTCCGCAATCGCACGAGGAGATACGTTCTTTCTTCGAGTTGGAACGAGGGCGGTCGAACAGCCTCCTCTCTGCACGGTCCGCTTCCCGCCGCTCATTCGCGCGAGACTAATCGTAACGCGAATCTCTTCCTGTTATCCCGCAAGATCGGTTCATCCCCGAAGAATCAGTCGGCTAATCTCTTCGCGTGTACCGTGAGATCTAACTTTCAACCGATTTCTCTCTCACTCTCTCTCTTTCTCATTCTCTCTCAATCAAACTAAACATCGATCGCCCAGATGTTGGAGGAAAATTGGCAGTTCCGAAGGACGTTTCGATATACAGAGGAGGGGGTTTTGATGGTTTCGATGGTTAATGGTGAATACCGGATGGATCGAGAGGTGTGTATGTACGATGTGTAATTACAATTGATCAGAGTTCGAAGCGGCGAAAATTTGAAAGATCAGGCCCGCGATCGTCCGTGTTCCGAGGCTTGATTGGCGGAGAGCAACGAGTATTCGTGTCCCCGTTTCTTTTTTTCTCTCCCTCCGTTCGATCGTTCCAGCACAATTAGACGAAATTCTTCGACAGCCTCGCTTAATTACTCCCTACCACTACCGCCACGCTTCTTCCCCGTCGGTATTAATTGATCGTCTCGTCGGCGCTGCCGTTATATATACACGAGATCTTTCTCTCTCTGCTGTATCTAATCGTTCTCTGCTCGTTTCAAACTAATTCTACGTCCCCGTCGGTTGTCGACGCGCGATCGCTTGGCTCCTCGTGCGTGCGTGGCAGTTATCGTGGCAACCTTTCATCATCGTCATCGTCGTCGTCGTCATCGTCATCCCCGCTGTTCATCGTCCGGCAATCGCGATGACTCGTCGTCGCGGCCGATTAACAATTACTACAATTATACGCTCTAGGAATCAGTCACAGGCTAGGTCCAACTCCCTTTTGGCCCAGCCAAATAAGTACGTAAGTGGTTTCGTTTTTTTTTTTCCTTCTTTCTTCTCGAGGGTGTACTTGCTTCTAACACGCTTCGCGTTTCTTCTCTCTACGTATAATCTACGCTCGTCTCTCTTTCTCTCTCTAGTGTCTACACGATTACTCTCTGCGTGTGACGTGTTTCTCTCTCTCTATCTCTCTCCGTGTTATCCTTCCTTCGTAAAAGACAACAAAGACAGGCGAGACTTGAAACATCTATTTCCCCGCTCGCCTCTTCCGAGTGTTATCGACGCGCACAGGCTTTCTCATCAAAGTGAGAGAAAAAGACAATGGCGCACGGTGCACCGTTGCCTCGCCGCTCCGAGCCGTAATCTTCGTTTCCCTTCGTTCGTCCTTCTTTGTCTCTTTCCGAACCACGCGCGATAACCGGAAAAAGAGAACAGAGAGAGACCGATGCCTCCTACGCGTAAGGAAACATCATTGCGTACCAAGGTCGCGAGAGCCTTGGAGAAGCGAAGAAGACCACGGAGAGAAGGGGAGTCCTCCTTCTCGTGTGGCTGTGTGTCTTCTTCCGTGTGTCGTTCGCGAATGTTTTCGAGAAAAGGGAGAAGAAGAGCGTAAGTATGTTCGTTCGTTTTCAAGTTCCTCTCTCTCTCTCTCTATCTCTTGTTTTCTACCTACGACCCTCTTTTACCAGCTCTAACACACTTCGCTTCGATGTCCGCGTCCAGGCTGCTGTGTCCAGTCTCTTGTTTCCTCTTTTAAAAGAAAGACAACCGGCTGAGCAAAGTCTCCTATGTGGGCACCTTACTAACCGCCTTCAGAAGATCGCTCTGCGTCTTGTCCAGACCGCTCACGTGATGCTGTTGCTGATGCTGAAGAGCCGCGTTCTGTTGCTCCTGCTGCATCTTCGCCTGTTTCTCCGCCTGCTGTTTCTTCATCATGTCCTGCTCCTCGCGTTCCCGCCTCGCCTGCTCGTTGATCTCCTTCACCGCCCTCAGCTCCTTCTTCAGCTTCATCCGCCGGTTCTGGAACCAGATCTTGATCTGTCGTTCCGTTAAACAGAGAGCATGAGCGATCTCTATTCGCCGTCGTCGCGTCAGGTAGTGGTTGAAGTGGAACTCCTTCTCCAGCTCGAGCGTCTGGAACCGCGTGTACGTCTGTCGACCTCTGCGCCTCGGACAGCCATTTGGCCCTGGAAACGTCAGAAACGCAGATTTGCCTAGGTTAGTTTTTTCATGCAGGGTGATTTGTAGTTTAACCCTTTGCACTACCACAGCCAACTCGTGTTAATACAACTTACCATATTTCTTAGGGGGCGGGCAGGGACGTCCTTCGGTCTTCCAGTTTACAGATTGATCAAAATTCACCGACTCGAATTTTTATCGATTAAACGTTTCGTATTGAGAATTTGGAAGAAGAAGTTGACTGTTGACTTACTGTTATAAGTAAGCACGGAAGAAGTGCAAAGGGTTGACTGTCTAAATAAAATTCAATAGCGGTGTATACGTTCGAAAAATAATCAAGTTTTCCCTTCGCTGACGCCGAGAAGCACGATCGTGAAGACGAGTTTCCTACGTATTGCAGTCTGTTCTGAATCCATCTCGTAATTGTCTACCGTTAATTCAATTTCTCGACTGCACAAGCGGCGAGCAATAATCGTTCAGCCGCTCGTTATATATTAATTAGCGCATCAGCTTTATTAATTTTATCGCGCAAGGACCGAGTCACCGTTCTATCTCCAATTAAACTGTCACCTACTTTACACACACACACACGCACACACACACACCACGGAGTTTTGCGTGGCAGATCCGAACCCGGTCGGAAACGTCAGTTTTTCCTCTACGTAAATCTCTCTCTCTCTCTCTCTCTCTCTCCCGTGGAACGACCTGCGTGCCGCGCACAGCCACAAATCTCCAACTCTCTCCTCGCTTTCTCTTTCCGGGAAAAAAAGGAGCAGCACTTTCCGGATGGTCACTTTATTGCAGGGGTTGAACGGACAAGAAAGAAAGGGGGAAGAGTGAAGAAAAGAAAATAGAAAGTTTCGGGAGGAAGTCTGCAAGGGGGAAGAGGGAAAGGACGAGAAACCCTTTCCAGAAGTGCTATTTTTTCCTTGCCTTCCGACTGAAAAAAAACTTTCTCCGGATGGCGAAGTCGAAGTCGTAAAACGGGGTACAACACGCAGGCTTTGCTGAATTTTTTATGGTGTTTAGGTAGCTATCGAACTGCGTCGCCACGTTAACCAGGTAAGGACCGGTGCTTGTCATCTGGTTCGTGTACCTGAAAACGTCGTAAAGCTCTCTCTCTCTCTTCCTTCGACAGGATAACACGCAACCTTGTTCCCATTCAAGATTTTCCAACGTGTCGGAATAATTGGCGAAATCACCGCGTTTCCTTTACACGACCCTTTAATCCCCCACTCCATTGAGATATCGCGATTCTCTATTGCCGAATAAATATCGCGGAATCCCCCTCGAACGACAGTTTTACCTGTTAAGAATATCTCGATTATTCGCAGATTATTCCGGCGTGCATCGGAGAAAATGGCCGCGAGCAGTGCAACAGAGTTGCCGGGCCCGATAAAGTCCTCGCCGGCAATTTTCGCAATTGGCTCGAACGTAATTTTACTTTCGGCCGTGCAGAGAGCGGCGGCGGCGCGAAAGGGTGGGCTCGCGTTTTCAGTTGGTCGACTGAGAAACCGGTTTCCCCGGGCGCAATGAGCAGTCAGCCATAATACCATCATTCTCGGGAGGACGCTGAGTGGCCGTATTATTGCCTCGTGATGAAGCAAATACGCGGCTACCGGCCAATAAAAGATAGCCAGATTTTCTGTTCCGTGCATGCGCCACCTCTCGCACCGGAAACCATCGACGTCGTCGATTTAAATACTCTTTATCCACCTCATCCCCTACGTTAACAAGAGACGCGTCACTTTTCCCTCGCCAGTTTCCCGTTCGATTACGAGGACAAAGGTAAACGACAACCGGAGGAAGAGTGTCCTCGAGTTCTCGAGCCGGTGTGCTTCCCCATTTTCCCGTCTCTCACGAGGCTCGGAAGTTCCGCGGGCACATTCACCGTGCGCGCCGAGTGACACGCGGCATCAGCCATCCGGTCGTCATCGTTCAAAGCTGGGCAAAAAAACCACGAGGGAATGCGGGGAATGCTGATATTGAATTCAGCATGGCCGTTCGTAGCAGTGCGGTCCAGGATTCACTGGGTGTGTGTGCTTCCTCCAAAACATTCACACGAACGTCTCTCCTGCTGTGAATCTCTTCTATCCGTGTACGTGTGCGTGTGTGTATACGTGTGCGTGAGGGAACACAACAGCATGGAGAGTGAACGTGGTTTTTGTGTGCGTGAGTTTAGCTCGCCGGTGCAGCCACAGTCACACGCATACACACACAGAGAGAGAGTACAGAGGGTGGTTGGCGAAGCTGGGACCATAGGTTACCTTGGCAACCGGAGGCAACCATTCCATCCTGCTGGCGGCATATCATGCCAGGGGCGAGTCAAGCAGCCAGAAAACCCTTCGTTGCATCCTCCCTACCGTGCTCGCCTCGCCTCTTCTACACGCGCGCGTCATAGAGTTGGCTGGCTCCTCGACCACCGGTGAACCCGATTGTCCCCACACTTTGCCCGCCATAAATATCCGCGGCCCATCAGACGAGCTCTGCCACGAGCATTATCAACAATTTCACTGGATCAAGCTAATGTCCATGCAGAATTTACCGTTCTTTCCGCCCCTCTGGAAAGTAGTAGCTGCTGCGTTGTAGGTGTGCGAGAGGCGCTAGTTCGTGCTTCCAGGGAATGCTTAATTTACTTTGCTATCGAGCCTTTTCTCTTTACTTTACTTTCTTACACTTTTGTCCCTCTCGTTTTTTTCTCTTCCCTTTTTTCAGGTGGCGTACGGGAAAATGGAGGGAAGGAGAAGAAGAGACGAGGGAGAGTTGGAATAGGAGAGGAAGTAGGAGAGAGAACATTGTTTCAAAAGGAAATCACCCGACGCTGCTTAGTTATTTTCAAACGACGTTCTAACCGATAACCCCGGGCGATCGAAGATCACCGATAACCTCACACGACGCGATTATTATAAAAAAAGGTGACGAAAGAAGCGTGTAATATGCGTCTGCCAGGCTTAGCACATTAGATAACCCCCTTCCCTCTGCCACGTAACACGACCATTTTCTCCCGTTTATGGCCATTCATTCGCGCGATTATTAATATACCCCCGATAAACCGGCTTACATTTATAATTGATAATTGATAATTGATTAATCATAAATCAACAGACTCGTAACAACACTCCAACATATATATACACACTTATTTCGTTCTCCTCTAATTTCCGCTCGTTCCCCCGTCAAGGCTTCGTATCGAAATTTCAATTAACTCGCGGCCAACGCGAAGACATGGAAACACGGTAGGAACGGTGACAGTGATTGGCGCGGATCCACGCGAATTTCTGCTTACGAATTCGCGCTAATTAGCGACAGGTCGCGTGTGATTTAGGGACAAAGGAGTTATGGTTGACAGGCGGTGGCCCATTTTGGCAGAGGGCAGTGGCAGTGACACGGTGCGCGCGCGCGCCCAACACGGCGGGGCCTGTAAACCAGAAGGGCGAAGGCCTGCGCCTAATTGCGGCCATATATTAAGTTTAATATCTGCTTTCGGTCGCCGCACGCGGCTTCACCGTTCGTCGAGTAGACGGGGATATTGCGGAAGTTTGCCCGACTGCGTCGCCTCCCCTACGACCTAGCCACCCCCGCCCTCTCTCGCGTACCCCTTTGCCTCCTCGCCGCGCGTTTCCGCTACTGAGATTCTATCAATACTCTCTCTCTCTCCCTCTTTCTCTCCCCACTGTCCTCCTAAGTTCGCGAATTTATACGAAATCCGTGGAATCGAACTTTAAACGCCTCGATTACGCCCGACCGTCCTCTCTATCCCGGGGAAAAACTTATCTCTCGTCCACTCTCGAGACTTCGAGGTTAATACGCTCGCTGAAATAGCGAGTTTCCGTAAGGGTGGTTCTGCCGTGGAACTTTGGTCGAACGCGGCCAAGTTCAACCTATCCAAGACGAATTTCGGTAATGAACAACTGATAAATTCAATTACCGTCTGTAGTTTCTTTTACGAGATACTTGCTTCGATGTTTTCGGATGTTTAAAGAGTTCTGCGTGCAGAAGAAGAGCAATAATTACAGCGTGTCGCGTTTAACTGGGAAGCAGGAAAGTAGAGGTCGCGAAAAAATTGACATAGATAGTCCTTTTCGAGTACTCAATTAAAAAAAATTAAGTTCACCTTGAAATATGCTAATTATACCAGAAAACAGCTTTCTTAACAACAATTTTCCGCATCTTCAACAGTCTGCGAGATACTCCCGCGTTTCCAATTAAACCAGACCCGCTGTAGCTTCGAATATTTGCTAATTGCAGTCGTTTTATCTGCCCAAGAGATAAGAAGTCTCTCCAATGGATACGTACCCGTCGTGCAACGCAAAGGTTTCTAATTTCTCCTTAAAAAAATCCAATTCTGATTGCCGATACGAAAGGAAAAAGTGTGATTTACAACCGCTGCTAAGGTAATTTAAAAATGACTCAAAACACAGAACCTCGTGGCCCCACTTGAGAAGGAGACTCCGTAAAACGGCGAGGCTTCCGGTTTCACGGTTTAAAAAGCAGGTAGTTTCCCTTTTGGACGGATCTGGCGTTAACGCCGTCGTATCCATGGATCTCCTTCGGTTTCTTTCCATATACCACTCTTCTCGCCCCATGCGATAACAGGAGACGCGATAAATCGCTTCGAGGGTAGTTAACGTCGGTATCAGGTTGACCATCGTGGCCATCAGAGGCTATATCCGCTCCGATATCGAAATCGAGGGAAAAACGATCCTCCCTCATTGCCCCCGGGCAATACTTGTCGCTCCTTCATATTTTTATTCGTCCTGCTAGGCAATCGCAGAAACGTCGATTACGAAACCGGCTAAATACCCGCGGGAATACCTCGCTGTGTGTGTTTCTTTTCTTTTTTTGCCGATGCCTTGGCGTAACCCACCGTTCGCGTTGCGCAATTCTGCGAAAAACGCATGGAAATCGCCACAAATTACGCCGCGACGGGCATTCGCAATCACAAAGAGAAAGGTGCTGCTTGCCGCGTGAAAAAATCATCCGCGTTGCGTTCCTTCGCTTCTGTGTT